GTTTCTCAAATTCCTCATATCAGTGAGATCATATGATGCTTATCTTTCTCTGATTGACTTATTTCACTTAGCATAATACCCTCTAGTTCCATCCATGTCATTGCAAATAGCAAGATTTCGGGTTTTTTAATGGCTGCATAATATTCCATTGTATATATATACCACATCTTCTTTATCCATTCATCTGTTGATGGACATCTAGGCTCTTTCCATAGTTTGGCTATTGTGGACATTTCTGCTATAACCATTGGGGTGTACGTTAGGCTGAGTTTTAGATTAAGGAATTATTGTGTGCCTTTGTTAGAGGTAATAAAGGCATTGTGATTATATATATATATATATATATTCCCACCTGTTAAAGATGATATGATGTCTCAGACTTGCATTAAAGTACCCAAGAGGGGAGAAAAATCATTGGGGTGATAGGTGAAACAAGATTGGCAAAAATGTTGATAATTCTTGAAGCTAGATGATGGGTATGTGGGGATTTGTTTTAGTATTCTTTATAATTTTGTGTACCTGTAAGATTTTTCATAGTAAAAAAATGTTTTGTTGACATATAATTAACATGCAATGTTATATTAGCTTCAAGTGTACAACATAATAATTCAATAATTCTGTACATTACTCAGTGCTCACCAGGATAAATGTAGTCCTTATCCATCACCGAACAATACATAGTAAAAACCTTTTTAAAAGGAAGAAAATCAGGTTGTAAAATGTCTATAAATAGAGAGTTTTTTTTTACAAAGTAATTCAAAAATACTCAGGGAAACAGTGATAAATAAGTGCATGCTAATGATGTTCTTTAGAGAGGCCAAAGGATGCCAGGCTCAGGAAAGATTAAAAATGAAGATCATAATGTAGCAGCTCTGAGTCTCATTTCAACAGGCAAGGGGGGACTATTTGGGCTGGCAGGAAATTCCATTTTATTTTGTCTTTCTTGCCACTTCTATCTCCCCTCCCCCCACACACACCCAAAAGCTATGCCCAGATTTGGTGTCTTACATAGTCTCAAACCTGTGGGGAGGCCGTCCTGGTTATTGGTCGTATGTCAGGGTGACCTTGGTCCTGCGTTCCTGGTCCCCTCAGCGTGTGGCTCTGCCGGGCACAATGTCTGTGGTGGACCTGGAACCCCGGCAGCCATCCCCTCGGGTCAGGCTCAGGGACCGGATGTAAGGCCTGCCCATCTCAGGCTGGGCCAGAAGTCTCCATCTCCCATTTCTCTCTCTTCCCCTCTCTTGTCAGGATGTCTTGAGTAAGCACTGAGTGGGTTAGGCTTTTGCAAATGACAGTAAGAGGGATGCAGCTCAGGTTGCTGCTCCTTTCTGCCCTGACAGACGTAACCGAGGAAAGCAGTCGCAAAAGGTGGCTGCTCGCTCCCTGCTTGAAACGCGTATGTTGGGAAGATGGAGGAGATACAGGGAGAACTGTGGGGTGAAGTTCTCTATATTCTGCCACAGTGAGTTTGTCCATCTTGAAAGGATTCATTCTTTTGGAGGAAAATACACCAAGTTAGATTAATAAGGAAGTTTCTTCTGATGAGTAAGAAGGAGGTGTTCTTGGTCAGATGAGGAAAACTAAGGAGTCCCTTGGGAGAGATACGATTGTACCTGGGTCACAGAGAAAGGTAGGAAAGCAAAAAGAATTCTAAGCCAAGTTTATTCCTCACACATAATGGGTATGGATAAGTAAGATGGTGAGCAAACAAGTTACTTTTAATGAAAACCCTCAAAGAGAAAGGAAAAGAGGATGTGGCCTCAGTGTTGGGAAGGAAAGGGACTTTCTGAGAGGCCAGGGCCTATGACTTGTGTCCTGCTTAGGTCCCACAGCACTGAGGAAAAGGGATGGGGGCCACATCCTGAACATGGCTGAACTGTCTCTAGGCACTTTCAGTCACAAAACACAGTGACTTCACAAACATCCACTTGGGTTTGTCTGTCTCTAATCTCACTCATCATTTTTTTCCAATTTCCAAATTTTTCCTTTCCTATTCTTTCTTTTAAAAGCCCCTCTAGGGGCGCCTGGGTGGCTCAGTCGGTTAAGCATCTGACTCTTGATTTCCACTCAGGTCACGATCTCAGGGTCATGAGATTAAGCCCTGTATCTGGGCACTCAGCATGGAGTCTGCTTAAGATGCTCTCCCTCTCCCTCTGCCCCTCTGCCCCCCACCACTTGCTGTGTCTAAAAATAAAAAATAAGGGGCGCCTGGGTGGCTCAGTCAGTTAAGCGTCTGCCTTCGGCTCAGGTCATGATCTCAGGGTCTTGGGCTCTTGGCTCAGCGGAGAGTCTGCTTCTCCCTCTGCCCCTCCTTGTGCGTGCTCTCTCTCTCTCTGTCTCAAATAAATAAATGAAATCTTAAAAAATAAAATAAAATAAAAAATTAAATAAAAAAATTAAATCCCCTCTAAAGTCAGTATAAACGTAAACTGTATATTTGTACCCTGGATTTGTATACGTCTGAGCTCTTTGGCCACCCTAATGCCTCCTAGTACAGAAAACAAAGTAGAGAAATTGATAATTAATGTGCAGGTATGTAACTCCAAAATGTGCCAGTAACTCTGAACGATATGATTTTGTGTGTATTTGACCCTTACTACTAAAAGATCAGAGGTAGAAAAGAATAATAAGGGGGAAACTATCTTAATCATGAAGCCAGCTCTCTTCTGCCCAGCTTCCCAACCTGTTCTATGGGTTTTAAATGGATGCTTTAAGTGTCGTATGCTTTCAGCCACAATGCTCAAGGTTAGCACTTGAAAAGTAATGTGTTTTCCATTGCATGCAGTATTCTTATTATCAAAGTAAAACTCTGATATTTAACATAGACCATTAGTGTAATGGATGGAACGCGACACTCATCTACTAGATGAAATCATCAGTGCCCATCCTACCCTCTACCTTCCTTTTCAATGAAGCATCAGCACCATACTTTGTGTACTTTGGTAATACACCATTTCGAGTTCACTGTTGTTAAAGTGTAATCTTTTTAGAAAATTGTCACATTCCCTTTTTTTGGATTACCATTTAGTTTTTTATTTAGGCTGTGTGTTTATTATGTTTAAAAACATAAGAAAATTTGTACAATGCAGGGACCACTTTTTTTCATATATAAAAATCGACTCGACTCTTACCACCCAGAGATAACCTTCGTGGTTAACGTTAGGGGATATAAGCTTCTTGACTATTATATATAGATTTTTTTTTTTTAAACGTAAGAGGTACCTGCCCATACTGTATTGTACCTTGCTTTTTCAATTCTATCGAAAAGCTTTGCCTATTATCCTTCCTAAGCCTCAGTTTTAGTGACTGCAGAAAAATTTTGATGTGTGACTGTATAAGAGTATACATAACCAATTCCCGATGATTTAACTTTTGGTATAATTTTAATTTGTCATTTTTAATTTGTGGTGTAATTTTTCATGGTATCTTAGAGCTTTTTGTTAAACTGTGAAAAAGTAAATCCACAGTTTTTTCATAAAAAATGATGGAGAAATATTAATCAACATATGGAAATTCATTGTTTATGTATCTGCTTAGGGAAATACTTTCTTGCCTGGAGAGACAACTATAATTGAATATACTTGTGGCAATCATTTATAATAAATTTAATAATATTAATTTTCTGAAATCCTACTAAGATTAAATATACTGAAACTCAAATGTTTTATTCAATTTAGGAGAGCACAAGCTTCATTTTATTCCTGCCTTGATTGGCCCTTTCCTAGAAGTGACCTTGATACCCCAGCCAGATCTCCGGAATGTCATGATTCCTATTTTTCATGATATGATGGACTGGGAGCAGAGGCGGAGTGGCAATTTTAAACAGGTAGGCGGATGAGCTTCTCAGAGCAGTTGGGGAGAATTTCATTTCTCCTTGAGCATCTCTGAGCTACCAGATTCAACTCCGAGTTGGGAAATGAGCACCGAGCCAGCTGTCAAGGGACTTAGATTCTAGCCTCGCCTGCCTTCGCCCATTCCCGTGGCCTTGGTCACCTCTCCAGTCCTATGTTCCCCTGAGCCTCTGGGGGAGCTCTAAAATCCCTTTCTGCTGAAAAATTCTGTGATTTCCGGGGTCTCTGCTGAAGAGCTGGCAGGGACTTGTTCTGTTCCCAGTCAGACACAACACGGAGGAATCAGAAGCTTAATGATTCTTAAAATCATTGACCTCTCTGTGGTCTGCACATTGCTCCTGGCGAATGGCTAGGTTTTGAGCATTTGATGCACAGTATGTTTTATTGCTTTTTGCTTGAAGTGTTGATAATTAATTTAAACCAGAGAGCAGTGGAAATTCTTGCATCTAGATTCCTGTATGAGCCTATTATTTCTCATTGACATAGGTTCTGATTGCTCTGCTCCAGTTTTGGAAAGAATAGATGTTTTTATTACAAAACCAGATTACATAAGAAATCAGCTGCTTTTGCCACGCCAGGTCACTCAAGTTGGAGATAGTCGCCTTCTTTCTGTTCGCATAGTCACCTCACTGACCTGTACTCAGTCATCTGTGTGAAGGATCTGCTCCCCCCCCCCACTTCATGCTTCTCCAAATGAAGGGCTTTCTCAAATTTTAGGAATGATTATCAACTCTATGAGCGAGCTGAGTGCATACACAGAACCCTCCTCCTGCAGAAGCATGGCATTTTACCTGTATTGATGTCTCATTTCAAGAAAGCTAATAACTGAATGGAAGGCTATTTTAAAATTGTACGTGCGTGGAGGGGGCCCGCTCTCCTTCCCTTTGGTCTTCATAGCCTTATTAGAATTTGGTTCAAAGGAATAACTGAGCTTAGTCCTTTGACAAAGTCAAATATCCCTCCCAATCTGTAGTAGCTTACCTCTCTCTGACCATGCAGGGGTGTTTGATTTTTTGTCTTTCTGCCTCAGATAGATGAAGGGATATTTCTGCTTGCCTGATAGTCAAGGCCCAAGGAGTTTACATTCTTGAAGATACAAATGTTTTGACTGCAGTTTTTTGGGAAATATGTCCTTTCTCTCTCATGTAGCTTATTGCTGACTTAGACTATTTCTATGGATCTACCATCTGTACATGGATAAGGCAAGTTCTCAACTTGAGCAAAGATTTAGTGCAACCTCGAACTGTTTTGAGAAAGAAAATAGATTCAAAACACATCAAAGATTTAAATTAATGTCAGTGGGTATGTTACTTTGCTAATGTTCTTACACATCTAGTGATTTTTAAAAAAATAAATAAATAAGTAGACTTGCCAGTTTTTATAGCTCTTAAAAAAATTCAAATGTTTAAGCTGGGCTGCAAGCATTTGTGTTTGAGTCAACAAATAGATGTCTTTGGTGGCAGCAAATGATACCCCTCTGGGAGTTTGAAGTCACGTTGCTCCATCTCAGTTAGCCCCCTAGAATTCCAGGGGAGTGTCTGCTATTAACCACAGCTTATGATAATGTTGCTTTCACAAAATTTACTGTGGTTTGTTTCCCTTGCAGATATAAATACGTTTCGGTTTGCCTAGAGATCCCACTTGTGAAGGGGAGGAAAGGGAGTAATATTTGGGTATGTTTCAGGTGGAAGCCAAGCTAATTGACAAGCTGGATAGCCTGATGTCCGAAGGCAAAGGTGATGAAACATACCGCGAGCTCTTCAACAGTATGTGAGTAATACGTGTATCTCCAGTCGATTCCATTCAGAGGATTTGGTGTCAGTCCTGGGCGGCTGAGAGCTGCAAAGATAGCTTGGGTCTCACAGGAGTGCTTTGTCTTTGTGGAGTGTGAAATAAAGGATAATTGCCTAACTCTGGTGAATGGATCTTATTATGTTGATGATTAGACCCGTCTCCTTATTTTAATCTCTGATTAGCTCAGGTCACTTGTGTTCTGTAACAAATCTCACTCTTTTCAAGCCTAAGTATTAAAGCTGGGGCTGCAAGATAATGATTTTAAGTAGGGGTTAAGAGTGGGAAAAGGGGGCGGGGTGGGGGGGGTACAATGGTGTGATTATGGTGTTCGTGTGCAATGCTTTCCAAAGCAGGATATCCTTGGCTGATTTGTTGATGGGGAAATTAACCTACCTGGCATCTGTTTTTCAGCACTTGATTTGATTCATCGATACTGATTGCTCACTCAGCGTTAGTAATTGCTTTCTAAATGTTCTTATTAGAATATCACAGAAGCAAGTTGTTTTTAGTAAATTCTGTGATTTGGATTTGGATGGAAGCTAGAACAACAACAGACTTAAGGGGAGTTTGAGGTTGTCCTTCCTAATAGAATGTGATCGCAGTCCAGGGTGAATGGCTTATCCCAAGTTTTCATCACGGTGTGAGATGGTCAGAGAGTTCATGCAAGAGTGTTCTAGAACGTTAGGGTTTGAATTCCAACACTTGTTTTCTCTACAGTTTTCTGTGGATCTTAGCCACTTTCAGTCCTAGTATATTGATAAAGTGCTCCTTTTTGAAGGCAGGACTAGCTCATTGTGCCTGGAAAATGCTTGCAGTTCTTTCAGAAGTATAGGAATCATGCAGCGATACATTTTTCTGTTACAGAGTATGCTCTGCCTCGTATGTGTGCCCAAGCGTCACGTCAAACTGTGAATGCTTCAGAACTGATAGCCAAATGCCAAGTTGTATACTTGGTTTTATGATCATTAATTTAGAAAAGTAGATATATTAGTATCCAGGTTTAGAAAGTATTATTAGTGACTGACAGGTTTCAAATTGCCTGATTCAAAATCATCCCTGAACCTTTTAAGAAAATTACATTCAAAGGAAAAGCCAAGAAGGGGTATACAGATTTCTTGGGATGATGGTGGGTGATGATAAAATAATTCTTTGTACTGACTCCTGAACAAAACCATTTTCTTCTGATACTGTAATTAAACTGGAACTTTTAGTAATTATTCACCAAGCCCTCGTTCAGTCTAGTATACAAAGCGTCTGTGTTTCATGACAGCTAGAGTTTAGCAAGAACTCTGATTAAAACCTCATCCAGTGTAATAAATTGCCTTTGAAAACTCCTCTCCTTTCAGTTATTAGTCCTTGGTTTGAACAAAGAACTAAAATGAGAAAGCACTCAGTGAAATGAATCTCTTGAGATTTGTGATTATTTATAATAAATTCACAAGATTAATAAATATATCATTTTATAGTGCCTCTTATCTACTTTAATAAAGGCCTATAGCTTGCAATTTGGATTGCTTGTGTATAAATGGGGCTTTGAAACAGAAGATGTACCTTGACATTAGAATCAAACCAGTAATTAATATATTAAGCCTCTGTAGTTAAGACTGTTTTAAGGTGCCTGATTCGTTCAATGGAGATTATTTTTCTTTTGTGATTTTTAGCATATTATTAGAAAGGTTACTATAAATATTTTTCTTTCATGCTTTTCTCATCAGCATACTGGGATTAAATAAAACCTAAAGTGATAATTAAATACCATTACTACCTGGGCTCAGAAAAGAAAGTGAAAAGCTAACTATATTTCAGGAAACAATGAAATGCTTCTTTGGCTATAGAAGTCACCGTGAATTAGTATAAGCACAGTGAGTCACTGCACACATTATGAATTAGGAACACATGCCGTTATGGTACAGATTCTCATTTGTTCTCTGTCGTTCATATCGAAAACTTCTTCAAATTGTCCAGAAGCTGAAAGTAGCTTCCTGCTTCCTGAACATGTAGGAGTTGCAATGGTTTCCTTCCTAAGAGCTTGCTCACCTTTCCCCACCCCCACCCCCAACATTATCTTCACGGACCCATACTCCATCTTTTTGAATAAGTACGAGTCAGGATTTATTATTTTTGATAATGCTGCAATTGTAGATCATAGACACCAGTGTGAAATCTCCAGCATAGAGTGTCAGAACTAAATTCTGCTTCCCCTGGCTCTGCTCGGTTCACTCATTTGGTTTTATTTACCGAGCACCTCCCTGGGTCAGGTACTCTCCTAGGGCTGGGGACCCTGCAGTGACTGTGCGGTGGGAGCACACAGTAGGGCACTTTCCAGAAGAGCCACCATCCCCCGCACTTCTTTCTCATGTGTTGCTTTAAATAATTAAATAAGACTCCAAGTCATTTCAAAGGTCTTTATTTGACGATCACACATTTAATTTTAGAGTGGATATGCGACACAGATCTCAGGTGTCTGACTCTTTGGATTAAGAAGAGCATGGGCAGACACAGGTGTTTCGTGTAGGAGTGATGGCCTCAACAACATTGCATGAGGATGTAGACAGAAGCAGATTTAGGGTCAGATCCTACCTCCCCCTGTTAATATTTTTTCACAGAGTAAGAGCCTGCTGAGCATTATGTCATCCTATAGGATTCTGGTTTATCCTGCTCTCCAGTGTTATGGAGGCCCATTGCCTATCAACTAGCAATAAGAAATCACCCTTTACTGTTACTGGATGAGTTCACTGTGTACTCAGCATGGGCACGTGGGCATGATTATAGACCAAATAAAAACACCCAGTCTCACCGAAGTTATCTAGACTCTTCTCTTCTTTCTGACAGGCTCCCCTTCTCAGTTAAACTGGGAGAACAAGCTTCCCGACTGAAAGAACAAGCCTGGCTGTGAAAGCGGATGAATTGGGTTCTAGACTTGGTCCTAACATTTGGGTCTGGGATTAGTCAAGGTTAAGCGGACTCTGCAGAATTGTGCCTCTTCTTACAAGAGGGTTTATGTAGCTCTGATTTCTTACTGCATCAGGAGGCTGTGCAAATTAATGAAATTCATGCCCACAAAAGAAGTCTCCATATATTTTTAGAATTATTACTTAACTTGAGTTCTTTGTTTTTCAGCCTGTAAAGTATATGAGGTGTGGGCTGTCACTTGGGGAAATTTCTACATCATCCTGCATTGCTTTGGCAGGCAGATTTGCATTTGAGTCCTTGGTTCAATACCAGTTTGGCATTTAAGCTCAAAACAGGTGCTGTTCAGAGGGTTCTTAAAAGAAAACACATTTTAAACAAACTAGGGGCCCTTCCCTGGGAGATTAGTCAGGGTGGGCTCCATCCCATGGTGTACAGCTTCTCTCCCTCCCTCCCCCCACTTAATCTAGGAAGCAGTTCAGAATAAACCAGGAAACAAATGCTCAGGGATGCATAGGCAACAGATGAGGAGACAAGACAGAAGGCTGGGTGCTGGAATGGCAACACCGAGAAGAAATGGGAAGGGAAATTAGGAGAGAACCTAGCCACAGAAAGGAAGGAAGGAAGGAAGCAAGGAAGGAAGGAAGCAAGCTAGCTAGCTTTGGCAGAACAGCTTTTTCCTTTAATATTTATTTTTCCTTTAAGCACAATATATGATTGGCTTAGATTGTACTTGTGAGAAATGTTTTCTCTGTTACTCCCAAAACCAAGATGAAAGGGAAACAAGATTTTAGACAGAAAAGATCATTAAATGCAGAGGGGTGGGGAAGGATCCTCACATTGCCATGCCTGTGTTCTTACTTTTATCTTTTGGGGAAAGTTCAGTCATAAAGGCTTTGCCAAGTGTATGCTTAATTTGCCAAGAGGCAGGAGTGAAAGTCAAACAGATCCTAATTATTCTGATTGTTGTGATTTTGTGTTTACATAGTTCCTTTGCTCCAAGGTGCTTAAGATTAGGGAAAATATAGGAGGAGAGATGTGGTTCGGTACTTGTCATCAATCTGCTCTAACAACCACATAGACAATCCCCTGTGATTAATGACAAAATGAATGAAACTGTTGAGTGAGTGCACAGATAGTACAATATGTATTGAGTGGGCAAATGTGAAGGGAAAGGAAAAAACGCAAAACGTCATACCGTCTGTACAAGGATTTTCCTCTAGCAGTTGCATTGCAGTAAAATTGCCTGGATGAAGATGCATTCTACCGAGAGGTAGGAAAACATTTTTATGTGAATAACAGGAAGATCTTATTTCAAAGTAAACTTAGAGGTACTCCTGTTTTCGCTTTTCGCGGTGTTATTTGCTGTGGTAAGGTTCAAGCCTCTGTTAGTGTAAGAGAGAAGCTAGGGGAGAATGCCTTTGAGCTGTGGGGTGCTTGTATATTTTGAAAATATGATCATATGCATGTGTTCGTGTTTTATGACTTGGATAATCTGAAATCAATTTGCTTTGTCAATGCTTCCTGGATTAGAATTCCACTATTTGGTCCCTATCCTAGGTAAGACATTGTGTGCAAATCGTGCTACTTGTGAGATGTTGCAGTGGTTGCTAAGGCATTTAAGGTACTGATGAAAGTAAGATGGTTGTCATGGTGACTGATAAAAATAAATGTTGAAAATGCCCTGGGTTCTTTCTTTTCCAGTCTACTAAAGAAAATTGAGCGGGAAACATGGAGGGAAAGTGGCGTTTCATTAATTGCCACTGTAACTCGTCTGATGGAGAGGTTGTTAGATTACAGGTAAGCGGAGTCCCCTGCTTCCCAGGAGTGCTGCGCTCCAGCTGGGAAATCAGAGTTAGGATCCAGTCAACTTCCCGCTGGAGTTAATCATCAGCCCACAGAACCTTATGCAGTAAGATAATGGACTTCTAACTCGCTGGCTCTGAGTTTTTAGTTGATTTTTGCCCCTTTTTCTCTCTTTTGTTCGGTGGACCATTCTTTCAAAGTCTGAGTGAATTGAGAAGGTTCTCAGAGTCCCATGAGTAAAGGGATCTTTTTTGGTGTTTAGACTCAGCCATTAGAACCAGTAGATCCTTCCGTTTTAGGGTGAAGACGGTGTTACAGAGAATTGTACGGTCAGGCTGCTTTCTTATGAAAGGGGGGGTGGGGTGCAAAGCGCACACTGTTACCTTTCATAGACCTAATTTTTTGATTTTTAAATTAGCTCAACTGTTAAAGCAGTTCATCCCACTTAAATGCATGGTGTTTTTCTTTTAAGAATGAAACCCTCATTCTTGTTGTTGATGGCCAGGCTTCCAGCTATTTCCCACCTCTCTGGAAGAAGGTGTATAAGAACACATCTTC